ACACACACACACACACACACACACACACACACACTCTCTCTTGGCTAGACTCAGCTCAAGGTGGAGTTCAGAGTCACTCGGGACCCACCAGGGAGCATGTTCACGCCACAGGCAACAGGGAACTGGGAGCACATAAGACCAGGTCACGATCATGTTTAATTTTTATTTTTTTTATTTCTGGGTTCCGGGGATTGAACTGAGGGGCACTTGACCACTCAGCCACATCCCCAGCCCTATTTTTGTATTTATTTAGAGACAGGGTCTCACAGAGTTGCTTAGCACCTCACTTTTGTTGAGGCTGGCTTTGAACTATGATCCTCCTGCCCCAGCCTCCCGAGCAACTGGGATTACAGGTGTGTGCCATCGTGCCTGGCAGGATCATGTTTTGAAAGATGGTTACAGCAACAGGGAAGGCTGACAGGCAGGCCTCTGTCCCCATTTTACGGTTCCCCGTCACACAGTCAGCAGGCAGAATACAATGGGGACTCTACATCCATCTTTCCCTTCTGCTACTCTGCACAAATCTTTTGTATCTTCTGTATCTTTAATATTATTGGCTTATGTTTTCCTGCCACACTGTTGAGTATGGCCAAGTGTGTCCTTTGAAAAATAAGCCTTCATATCTTAAGTCTGCAAATGAAACTGGCCTGTTTTCATATGTTTTGATAATGGTCAGCAGAAAGTGGAGCTGATTCATACAGAGGGAATAAACAAGTAGATCTCATTCCTCCACCAAGCTGAATCAAGCATGAACTTGAACCCTAAGAACAGCAGTTTTTCCTCCTATTCTTGAAGAACTCCAGAGTGTGGAAGCACCTCTAGGGACTTCCATCTTCCCATACCACCACAATGGGGGGAGAGCCAAATCCCAACTTGATGAGGGCCCTGCATCCTGGAGACAGCCGTGCACACCTTCTGCCCTCACCTTCTGTCCCCAGCTCCTCGTCCTCATTGTCTGTGCTGCTCAGCTTCTCCCCATCACTCTCCAGGGCCTCGTTCTTGGCTCCCTTTTCCAAGGGAATCTCATTGCTCACAAAATAGGCAGCCAGGCCCAGCTCCTGCTCCAAGGCTGTTCTCACCAAGCAGGAGGAGTTTATGAGACGCAGGTCACAGTACCTCAGGGACCTAGGAGAATGGGAGGTTTTCACTGAGTGTCTTCTGACATAAGGTGCTGCTCCTGGTGACAAAAGGCAGCAAGATCGGGACCCTGCCTGCCTTCCTCACCAGACCCCAGGACTCATGCCCCTGGGAAGGCCCAGGGAAAGTGCGACTTGAGTCTTATCAACAAAGAGGAGTTCATAGCAAGTCTCTGGGGCCCTTGCTTAGTACTTTGCCCTGCGGGTTATGGAATCAAAAGAGCACTTTCAGGTCGGACAAATGGGGCTTGAACCTCAGCCCTGCCACTTTTCAGTGATGGAAACTTCAACCAGCTTTGCAATTCCTCCGAGGCTCTGGTTTTTATTTTCATCTGAAAGATGGGAATGAACATGAACCACCCATAAGAGCTTTGTCCTGAAGAGTAAATGTATTAAGTGGGCGTTTAATCACCTGATCCATATTTAATACATGCTAGCAGGTCTGCTGGGTACTGAGGACCTGAGTCAGGCAGTCATTGCCGGGTTGGTCTTACAGGAGACCCAGGGACCCCCTGTCCTGAGTGTGTAGCTGTGGTGGCCTAGAGGCCCCTAGGAGTTGCCAAGTGGACACAGCTACAGAGACAGTCCTTCTTTTTGTCAAAACGACTGTCTCTTCCCAAGCAGCATCACTGTCCCTTCCCTCCCTACACCAGGAGTGACCTGCTGGCACAGCAGTGGAGCCTTAACCCCCGAGATAATGCCACATTATGCCATGTGGAACTGTCCTCCCTAATAGTGACCCCCAACTGAGCTCAGGAGGCACTAAACCCTGACTCCATCTACAGCCCCCCAGAGCCGAGTAACAGCCTCCCACCAGCCCCATGGTGCCCTTCAGGAATTAGGAGAAGCTCTCCACACCTCAGACCCGCCACACTGCCATCTGCTGGAAACCTGTGTAAATGCACAATGGAAATGACCAGGAGTGTGAATAGTTCCACCTGGAAGGTGGGCAGTGGGAGCCTAGCCAAGCTCCTCCCCGGCTACAGGCCCAGGCTGTGAGCCCCAGCATTCACCTTGGCAAGGACTCCCCATGCGGGTCCATCCCGCTAAAGATCAGGATGCACGGCAGGCCTTCCAACTCCAAGTAGGTCTGAGGCCTCCACTCTGCGTCCTCGATTTTCTGCCACATCTGCAGATATTGAAAAGGCGGCCATGAGCCACTACTTTCCAACTGGCCCAGGTCCAGGGGAAACCTGAGATCCTCCCACTGATTTATGATGTCCTCTGATAAAAAGGGAAGTTCTTTTTACTGCAAATAAGCACTCTGAGCTAACTGTATCTTCAGTCGGGTGTGCATATTCTACCCCAGAAGCACCTGTAGACCAACTGATCCCGGGAGCAGACGCGTATCCTCGTGGCTTCTGACTCCTGTGTTCCCTCCTAGAGTTCATATTCCCACCCATCTGTTCCTTCAAGTCTCTCCCTGACCCTTTTGCACACCCTGTCATGGAGGGTCAGTGAGGGCCCACCAAGGACAGGCACTGTGCTGGGCTTTGGTGACTGAGACAGGCAGGGAGGACACTGGCCCTGCCCTCCTGCCTGGGGAGGAGCTGGCTGATGGGATGAGACCTGGCCCCAGGGGAGGGTGGCTTCCTAAAAAGGGAAGGGACACATGCTCAGTTCTGTGGCAACAAGCTCAGCAGGGCAGGCGCACCCTCGGGGAGAAAGAAAAGTGGGCTGCAACCCTGAGGGCTGAGATGGCAGGCCTGGTGTTGGGGACACCCAGGAATGCCCCCAGGGGAAGGTAGGGGGGGCAGAGGAGGTGGCGGAGGTCTTGGGAGGCTACACTGGCCATGCCGGAGGGCCTGCTCCCACCCGCTCCGGAATCCCAGCCCCTGCGGCCCCCTGGCAGCCCTCCTGCTCTCCTGCCCCCAAGCGCCACGCCCACCTTGAGCTGCTTCACGAAGTGCTTCCCCACGGTGATGCCCGAGCTGGGGTTGCCCAGGATGATCTCGAAGTGCTCCTCCAGGGCCAGCCGCGCCCGCACGTGGGCCAGCCGCTCGTAGGCCACGGCCGCCAGGGGCGAGCAGGGCACCCGCAGCAGGACCATGAGCCCGTGGCCGCAGGGGCACTGCTTGGGGGCGTTGAGGAGGTTCTGCGTGATCTCCAGCGTCTCCACCGACGTGTGGTTCTTCATCTGCGGGAGGCCGCGCACCGCCATCATGGCGGCGGCGTAGTGCTGCACGAGAACAAAGGTCCTGATCACCGCGCTGTGCAGGCGGGGGAACCTGCGGGAACACAGAGAGACCAGGCCCGTGACCCCAGGCCCGCCGCCGGCGGCCAGGTCAGGCCCGCGCACCGAGGGCAGGCTCTGGGGAACCGAGACGGAGCACAGGCTGTTCCTTCCAGCTGGGCTTGGGCTGCCGCTGTTCGAGTTTTCCCGCACTTGGCTCTTTGTAAATGCAGCTGCCACAACCCCCAGATTTGGGGACAGTCCCAAGGCACCACTGTGCTCATGTCCATTACAGGGAGGTCTCAGAAAGGTGAATAAACCTGATTTAACTCGATGGGTGAATGACATATCAGAGCACCTGCAGTCAAACCAACAAGCCCAGCTTTTGCCTTGGACACCTGGTTACCCCCCACACACACACACACATACACACACACACACACACACACACACACACACACACACACACACACACACACACACACACACACACACACGGAGGTGGTAGCTGCTGCAGTGACCACCTGCTCTACTAGGGTCAGAAACAGACCCCAGGGTATAACCAGAAAAACCCAGGTCACTACAGATCACTGTTTCCCAACAGAAATAAATAAATTGAAGTCCAGTCTATACTTGATGCTCTTGTGGGTTTTCTAGCTGGAGTACGTCCCCAGGGCCATACCATGGAGGGCCACCCTGTGTGTTTTTCCAGGGCAGCCAGCTCGTCTTCCACAGCATCTCCAAGCCATCACCTGCTCCTTCTCCCTGCCCGGCCTCCTCCTCTCCTTCCTGCCAGCCTTAGCTCCTCAGGCTAAGGAGGGCCACTCCCACTGTGGTCTCAGGGAAGGGCATCTGGCCCTCGGACTGTCACATGAAAGAGACATGGTGGCCCAGGGACTATTCTGCCCTGCCCTGGTACCCTCGCCCAACAATACCCAGAAATAAAGCAAGCAGTGTGGAAAATGTTTCTGCTCCACGGACAAGCAGCGTCTCCCACTTCTGGCCAAGACAGAGCAACCAGGGTCAGACTCATCCTCCCACCTGGAACACGTATGAAAACAACAGTGTTTCAAGACCCAGGGCATCGGCCAGTGAGCTCTAAGCCATGTGAGATAAATGAGGTGGGCGGCTGCCTAAAAGGTTTCTAGGATGCGCTCAAGAAGGAGAGGCCCAGGCAAGGCTCAGGTATTAGAACCTCAGGAAACCAAGGCAGCCAGAGATCACAACGCAAAGGACCAGGGGACCAAGAGTTACAAAAAGAATACGGAATTCCAGACGTGTGCAGAGGGCCCCTAGATCTTAAATGAGTAGGAATCAGTGCAAACATGTAAGGAAACTACCCGAGGTAAGAAAAGAGTTTCTTTGGATGCTAACAACTTACCAATGCCTCAAGCCCACACAGGGCTAGGACTGGTTCCTGTAGTCACTACCAATAGGAAGTGGGGAACTTTGTAGAGGATATGCAGAGGTTTTTTGCTTCTTAGGAGGGGACTAAATACTAGATAAGTATCATGCTGCTGCAGCCTAGCAAAGCTTACGTTCAAGACCTGAAAGGATTATTAAACTGTTTCCAAATAACTGAAAACTCAAGAGTAACAGGAATGAAACATCAACACCCAACAAGTTTAAGTTCATAATGTCTGGCATCTTCTCAAAAGTTACCAGATATGGGCTGGGGCTGTAACTCAGTGGCAGAGCACTTGCCTAGGATATGTGAGGCACTGGGTTTTATTCTCAGGACCACATAAAAATAAAACAAAGAAAATAAAGGCATGCTGGGTATCTACAACTACAAAAAAATTAATTACCAGATATACAAATAAGCAGGAAAATATAACCCATAGTAAAAACACATGGCAGGGGTCAATCCATAGAAATGACTCACAAGTGATGCAGAGACGGCAGAGCAGACAACAACAATAAAACAAATAGTGTAACTAAATCACTTATGTTTAAAAAGTATTCAATATGTTAAGTGGAGATACGAAAAAAAAAACACAAATCCAATTCTTGAAATGGAAACCATGTGTCTGAGACAGAAGATAACGTGGAGCTGGATTTTCATGGAAGTCACTATCTTGTCGATAACCTTGTCCTGCCAGCCACAATCAGTTGGCTCAGGGAACATGACCCAGGACGAGGCCTGGTTTTTCCTTGATATTTTTCAAAATAAGAAAACAAATCAGTTCTCTCTGGAAGCTGGAGATTGGGGTTCAGTGGTGACCAGGGGTGATATATTTAGCGCATGGAAGAGGCTGGTGTTCAAGACACACCACAAAGCCACAGACAAGGCAACGTGTTCTTGAGACTGTCTGCACGCCTCACTTCACCTGTTCCTGAAAGTAGGTGCAGCCCTGCTGTTCTACGGTTTCTTTGAACTTTCCTTTTATTTCATGAGTCAAGACATCTACGGTTTCTTCGAACTTATTCCATGAGTCAAGGCATCACCCTTTTTCCCCAAGAGAGCTCAAACTGGGGACTTGTTACTTGTACCCTCGAGTCCTGACCCACAAACAAACACAGCAATACATCAGCTCATCAATGCACTTGCTGCCTGAAATTGTCTTTTTTTTCTCTTAGGAATCTGGTCCTAAAATACTCCGCCTTTGTAAAAAGTAAAAATAACTGCATAGGGTCAACATCAGATTAGACAATGTAGAAAAAATTAATAAACTTTAAAATGTGGCAATAAAAACTAAAACGAAACAGAAAGGAATAATGAGGCCTTAGCAAGCCACGGGACAGTTCTGAGCATCCTGGGAAGCAGGGGAACTTTTGGAAAAAAATAAGGCTGAAATTTTTTCGTATTAGATGAAAACTCAGTCGACTCAAGCCAAAAAGCATGAAGACTACGCAAAGACCATCTTAATCAAGTTGCTTAAAACCAGAGATGAATTTAAGTTTCTTTAGAGCAGCTGGGGGTGGGGCAGGGGAAGCATTCTTTAGAGAGAAGCTTGAAGGCGAGGAAAAGGCAGATGGCTCCTTTTCAACAACATGTCAGAAGACAAGGAAGCCACATCCCTGACGCCCCAAAAAGCAAAACAAAAAGAAAATCCAAACCAGAATGTTATCTTTCAAAAGCGAGGCAAAACACGGGCTGGGGCGGAGCTCTGTGGTGCAGCTCATGCTCGAGTGCACGCAAAGATGGGTTTAATCCCCAGCAAAGCAAAATGAAATTGTTTCAGACACACAAAATGTGAAAAAATTCATCAGCTACAGACCTGCCCCACGAGAAACGCTAAAAGAAGTCCTCTAAAGAGAAGGAACGTGATACCAGATGGAAACCAAGTCTACACACAGGGAGGAAGAACTCTAGCAAGAGCATATGAGAAAATATAAAAGAGGGTTTTGTCACATTTTAATAGCTTTAAAAGATGATGGACTGACTAAAGCAAAAAAAAAATTGTAAAGTTTATAACATTTATAACAAAAAGTAGAAAACTTGGAGGCGAGGAATGGAAATGCCTGGTACAGTTTTAATCATCTTACATTATACACATCACTTGAAAATAGACTACAACAAGTTGAAGATATATATTGTAATGATAAAGCAACCACTAAAAATCACAACACAGAGTTGAAACAGAGAGAGAGAAAATGAGAGATTATGAAAAACAGATGGTACAAGATGCAAGATGGTAGATTAAAACTGACCGATAACCATGTTAAATATGAATGGACTATCTCAACTAAAGGGTAGAGATTGTCAGACTGGATAAATAGAAAGATCCTATAATAAACTGACTATACGGAACCAACTTCAAATACAAAGAAAGATACAAGGGGGATTAAAGTTAAAGGACAGGATGTAATAATCTATGCTAACACTAATTAAAAGAAAGCCAGAGTAACTCTATTAGTTTTAGAGTAGATTTTGAAGCAAAGAATATTTGGATTATTTCATAGTCATGAGGGGGTCAATTCACCCAGAGACACCAAAGTGTCACAAATGGAAGATAAATGCCATTAGTCACTGGAGAAATTCAAATTAAAACCACAATGAATTACCATTTCATACCAACTAGAATGGCTAACACTAAATAAAAAGATGGACCATACACATGCTAGAAAAATGTGAAGCTCTGGAACTCCCACACACATGGCTGGTGGGAATGTCAAATGAATCACTTTGGAAAGTAATTGAACAGTTGGTTAAAAAATAAAATAAAATAAAATAAAGTCAGATGCTGCATGCCCGTAATCCAAGTTAGTCAGAGGCTGAGGCAGGAGGACCACAAGTTCAAGGCCAGTCTGAGCAACTATCAAGAACCTGCCTCAAAACATTAAAAAAAAAAAAAAAAATCTAGGGATGTAACTCAGTAGTTGAGTGCCCCTGGGTTCAATCCAAAAATAAATAAAATTAAATTAAACAAAATACAGGAAATAGTTAAACATATACCTACCACATAACACAGTCATTCTACCACTAAGTATTTACCCAAGAGAAATGAACGCATACGTCTAAACAAAACCTTGCACATGTTTCTAGAATCTTCGTGTGGAATAAATAGCCAAAACTGAGAAATAAAGTAAATGCTTATTAGCCAGCGAGTAAGTGAACTATGTACAACCATTCAGCAGCCTTGGACTCTGGATACCAGCAACAACACGGCCCGGGGTAGGAAAAGCCAGACCCACAGAGCACCTGCCTTACGACTCCCTTTTCATACAACTCCAGGAAGTGCACACTTGTGTCAGGCACAGCAGGCAGGACGGAGGAACTGCAAGGGGCAGGGGGAATGGTGAGGTTTTCCCCATGTGTACAAAGGTCAAAACCCACTGAATGACTTAAGCAGGTGTGGTTCCCTGGATGTCAGCTATTCCCTAGTGAAGCTGTGATTTGGAACAAGACAAGCACATGGGACACGGCCACCTGTCAGGCACAGCCACGGGGCCAGCCTGGCTCATTCTTGAGCCTCCATGGTCGGCCCTAACAGGGTGCTACACAGACAACACTAGGAAAAACCTGCTAGATGTCTCCATATTTTACTTTTAAGTCACAGAGGTCTGTGTCCCATCTCTAGTCCTTCCCACAAGCAGGTTTCCCAGCCTCGTGCAGGTGTCTGGGACACAGCTAACAGCCTGGACAGGCACGTGGTGGCAAGAACGGTGATCTCTGTGTCTCATCTTCATCTCCTTCTATTGGCCAATTTCAGGAGAGTTTTCCAGACAGAAGATTCCTAGGCAGGGTAGCTTGGCCCAGGGGAAGAATCCCAGACCTGCCTTGAGTCTGGGTTGCCACACACAGGCCACGTGAACTTGGGCCAAACATGCTCCCTCTCTGGGCTTCCGTTCCCACAATTGTAAAGTGAGGTGGTTGAGCTAAAGGATTCCTAGGAGTTCCTGAGAATGCACACCCCCCAACATTCCAGGGGTTGGAATTCTCTCCTTACTCCCTGAAACAGAAATGCAAACTCTGAGCGGCACATGTGCTTCTAGGTTAGCAAAGGGGAAGCGAGAAGAGGGGCAGAACCGAGACTCAGACCCAGACACAGAAGCCCAAGCTGTCCACATGCACCTGCTACTGAACCTGTTAAACCCTCGTAAGAAGCCATTAGGAAAGAAGGTTCACTCTACAGGTCAGGACACAGAGGTTCAGCAGGTTCAGTGACCTGCTCAAGGTTAAAACTAATGAAGGGCAGAGCCCAGATATGTGGATACAGTGCAGCGTCTGGCTTTTTACTAGCTGTGAGACCTTGGTCAGTGTGGCTTAGTGATGATGTGGTTTTGGAGTCAAGTGACCAGGGTCTGGGTCCAGTTTCACTATAAATTGCCCACGTGACCCTGGACAAGTGACCTAACCTGCCTGAATCTCAGTTTCATCTACAATATGGTGATAATAGCTCCTGTGCTGCCGAGAGGATTGTTGTGGGTAACAAACATGGGATTTTGAACCCGAGGTCTACCGCACACTGTATACTTGGCTCAGGCCTGCTGCAGGAGAGGCAGAGCAGGCAGAGGCCAGTCCCCACACCTGCTGTAAGCTCTCAATGGGCTTCTTCACCCAGTGAGCTTATGAGAGCTCAGAGGCCAGCCCGTGAGCAGGAAAGCGGCCTCATCCATCTCCATTAGCATCACAGAACTGAAGGTAGCAAAGAGGTTTAGTTCCTCTAAGGGTGTTCTGGGGAACACTGATCCCAAGAGGTTCCGGACTTGCCAGCCTCTGGAGACCAAGGGCATGTGTGGGCAGGCAGCTCTGAGGACTCATATGGGAAGAAATCCTATTGTTAACCATAACGTTTCTCTAACACGTGTGGCCACGGAACCCCTCCTGGCTTAAAAGCTGTTAGTATCCAGCCAAAGAAGTGTTCCTAGGAACACAGCTGGAGAAACATGTCTAGCTCGATCCCTAAGCCAGGCAGACACATGGGCGCAGGGAGAAGCAGAGCCACTCATTTTGTTCTGAATTAGACAGTCCAGAAAACAGCCGGCTCATGAGGCGTAGGCTCTGTGGACATCATCAGGCAGCCCAGAGAGCACAAGGGGTAGACTCTATGACGTCATCAGGCAGTCAGAGAACACAGGTGGCTCGCGAGGCATAGACCCTGAGATGTTGGGTCTGCGTAGACCCTGCCTCTGCCCTCGGTCTCCTCATCTGTAAAAAGAGGTCTCTTGTGACCGGGTTACCGGGGCTAACTGTAGAGCCAGGCTCACTCTGGGTTCTCCCTCGCCTCTGCCACTTGCTAGACCTTTGGCCTGAAAAAGTTATGGCACCTGAGCTTCAGTTTCTTTGTGAAATGGGGATCGTAACAGCAGCTGGCTCAGGGAGGGGGTGAGGACCAAACAGGATGAAGAGCACAAGAGACCCGTCACTAGATGATACTTGTTGAAATACAGACCAAAGGCAGCTGTGAGGCCACCTCCAAGCCTTCTGGTACTTCGCCTCCCACTCTCCTGCCACCATTGATGGACACACAGGCCCGCGTTCCAGAATATATATGCCCGTTCTTACCTCTAACATTTTCTACAGTCTGACCAAGACCTCACTGACCCAACATGATTCAAACACACAAGAAATAAACCAGGGTCCCTCTAACAGAGGACCAGAGTCACCAGGGAGGGAGGGAGGGACACGCACGCCCTTCCTGGAACTCCCTGGCTGGCCGTGCACACGTCACAGTAAGCCAGAAGCACTTCTCGGGACTTTGAAGAGAGACACGTACCTTTTTCCTAAAGCAGTGACCATGGCCTCAAAGGAGCTATCATATCTGAGCAAGGGAAGGCTGTGTCCCGAAAGGGTGGATTCAATGAACTCCGACAGCCCGAAGTACTTCTTGTTTTCATGGTACAAGTCCACTCCCTAAAACAGACACGAGCGTCCGTCACTCAAAGGCTACGCTTGCAGGGAAGAGCAGGAATCACAGGCCAGGCTTGTGGACAACCTGGACTGGCACCTGGAACTAGACTGTGCTGGCTGCTGTCCCCAGGGGTCACCTTGGAAACATCACCCTGCAACCCTTCTTCAGGGATGGTACACCCCCATCTACCACGTTTCCCATTCCTTTGGCCCCATAATCTTCAGCAGGGAGAAAACTCAATCTTTCTTTTTCTTTTTTTAAACATGTAAATTTCTTTGTTAAAATTTTTTTCCACAATTTTAATTTGGTTTTAGGAACAGATGAATCAACTCTTTTGTATTCTTTTGCCATTAAGATCAGGAGGGGGGAAAAAACACATTCATCTAGCCAATCTTACATTGACATAAAATTCCTCCCAAACCAGCATCAGAACTTCTCAAACTTCAGAGCGGAACACAGCTGAGAAGGCTGTTTGAAACACGAAGGTGTGAGTTCTATCCTCAAATAGGGTGGCTCAGGGCCAGGGCCAGGGGTCCAGCAGCTGGGTCCACCACGGTCTCAGGCAAGTGGCAAACCCCTGCCTCATCCTCCCCGAGGGTCCATCAGAAACCTTCTCAGCACCTGCACTTGCATGTGCTCAAAGGCAGAAGCAGGTAGGGTCCATGGCAAGGGCCATGTCAACAGTGGCTGTGACCTCACTGGGGGGCAGCCCACAGGTCTAAGGTGCGCATCAGCATTCAAGTACTCTGATGAGTGAAGAACCCTGAAGAAATCCAGAATTCTAGGATGACGTAGTCCTTGTGTAAATAGCTAGAATCCAACCACCCAGAATCCTCAAGCTACCAGAACTGGTTTGGTCTTCCACTCTGATGGGAAATGGCAGGTGATAAGCAAAGGTTAGAGGGTGTTTGCTCAGTGTGAGGAAGGAGATTTGGAGCGTGGCTGCCTAGGAACTGGAGATAGGAAAAACAGGAACATCTCCAAGGCTGCAAGCTAGGCACAGAGGCGCTCTGTATGGAGCCCAAATCCCCAGAGCCCCCAAGCCTTGATTTCCAACATCTTTATCCCATGCCATGAAAGCAAGTGTTCAAAAGGCTGCTCACAGCGATGAGGGGACAAAGTGCCAAGCACTGTACTATGTTACTAAGATGGGCGCAAAGTGACAGACTTGAGGAAGTTTTCCAAAAAATACCAAGAAGGCTTTAAAACTAACCCTTGGTTGAGGATCCACAGAGCTGGAGCCCACTCATCCCTCCAATGACACCAGTCCAGACTTTGGCTAAACGCGACCTCTCCACCCTCAAGCATCCCGAGGTCCAGCAGCACTCACGTTACTGTAGGAGACGGGCCAGTGGATCTCGTTGTAGGGGCTGATGAGGGTGTGCTGTGTCTGCAGCGCGTAAGGGAAAGAGGTCACGTGAAGGGTCACGATGTTGGGGGCTTCCTTCACCTCCCTGCAGTTGAGTAGTCGGTCCACCAGGCCCACAGGCGGGTCACTTTGAGAATAGAGGTTATGAACAGCGCTACTGAGGGGGGGAAGGAGAAAGACAGCATTACGCCTGCAGCTTTGCAAGTCTATCAGGACAAAGCAGTTACACATTGACAACCAGCCCCTAACTGTGCCTGAAGCTGAAGCTTACGGCTCTGCCCACGACCAGAAAAAGAAAAAATGCTTGGACTTCAGACACCCGTCAGGAACTCCCTACCACTCCTTCCTTGAGGAAAGCTGGATGGGTGGGGTGACTGTAGAGGATTCTCACAGGATACATAATGCGGCTACCTTGGAACAGCGACTCGTACCCAGGAGTGCCCACTGTCCACCTTTGGCCCAACTTGGCTGTGTACCATCTCCTTCAGGAGGCGATGGTGATGCAGGTGAGGAAGGGGCTCAGGGGCCACATGAGCCTCCTGAAGTCCTACTGAGTGTCAATGGCCCACGGAGGGGAGAAAAGGGCAAATGCAGAGCACCACGGGGACAGGAATGGGGAGCTTTGGGGCCAGGGCTCTGAGAGACAGGCCCAGCTTGGCTTTGCAGTGAGGAATGGCCTCAGGGTCCTCCTCTGTAAATCCAGGGGAGACAGAAAGATCAGAGCTTCACTTTTTGGGTGGCAGGAAGCCACTCTTGAGAAATCTCCCCCCAAATGAAGATTTACAGATAGCTTTTCCTATCATTTCAGAATAATCAGATTCACCAAACCCACATCCGCTGATGGATTATAAACCTTTGACCTATGTGATCCTCCATGCCCGGGCCAACCTAGCTCTGTGGCCCTCACCCACCTCAGCATAATACCTACCTGCAGAACCCCCAGGCCAAGGCCCCGGAAATGACCTTTCCTGGTGAACAACCAGCAGAGCCTGCCACTTCTGGCTGACCTACCTGAAATTCACCTGGGTTGACATTCATTCTAATTGAGTAAAATTGCCCTCAGGAAGGGCGGGCACCAGCCATGATCCCTGGTCCTGGAGCTGCAGGGCCTCCATCGCAGAGGGGTGGGGCTGGGGTTTCTCCTGTGAGGACCCCTTCCCCAACATGCACCAGTGTGGCTGCTTGTTGCCAGCGGGTCATGGAGAAAATGTGACAGGCTGCCATTCAGCCAGCTCTGCCACTAACCCCTGCCCCAGCCCCGACCCTGAGCCGACGTTTCCCTTTCCAGCCCTCAGCTCCCACAGTGGTAGATTTCAGAGGCTGCGTTAGGTGATCCCCAAGACAACACCTGGCTCTAAGCCTCTAGAAAGCACCATGGCACCTGCCTACAATACCAAGCCCCAGCAGACCGCTTCCCCCGGCCCCAAGTGTCATCCATATTTGGAAGGAAGAACGTGTCAACTGCCAATGACCATTGGGTCTGACCTCACAAGATCCCAGTGGGCATGATCGTGGATTAGCACAAAGAGGGTATGCGGGTTCTGGAAGGAGTTTTGCAGAAAGGCCTTAAATCTCGTCTGCGCCTCTGCATCTAGCTTCAGAACGTACTGCTCCACCCGCTGCTTGGTCATGGGCTCCTTTTCCAGGCCAAGCTCCAGTAAAACACCTGCAACACAGCAAACACGTCGGCAGCTCCAACACTGCTGGCTCGTTCCTGCAGATAACAGATGACCATCTCCTACACGGCAGGCCCCAGCTGCAGGGGTGTGGACTGCAGGACAGCTGAGCAGAGGGCCCTCCTGAAACTGCTCTGCATGGGCGAGGGAAGGGGCCTGGCTGTGCGCATGGCAGCCACCCGGGGCACAGCCAAGCGGGCTCCATGAAACCAGGTAAGACCAAAGAGGAGGCAGAAGTGCCACATCCAGCAAAGCCACTTCTCAGTCGGAATGCACAGATGTTACCTCATGCCACTAAGAGTGACTGCATGGAATTGAGACATCAGGGAAAATGTTAAAAGTCATTGGCTCAAGGGACACAGAGAAGGTTCAGGTCCTGGTTCTACCTTGAACAGATTCTAAACTCTTGGGCAGGTCACATTGCTGAGCATGGGTTTCATGATGTGTACAACTGGGGCAATAATAGTTGCTCATCTTTTTAATAGCAAAGGACGCTGTTCACACCCAAACTGGGTTTATGGAGAGAAGAGCTCCTCCACCAGGCCTCGTGTCCCCCAAAGACCCCCTACCTGAATGCCAGATGTGGAACAGGGTCTGCTGGTAGGTCACTTCCGAGGGCGGAATGCAAATTAGAAAGTCCACCTTCTCGAAGGAGCCCAAGTCCAGGTTCTGGGTGCTGGAGTCCGCAATCGAGCACACGTGGGAGAGGAGCTTCTGGGCCACTGCCAGCTGGAAGGGCCGGACGCCACGCGGCTCCAGGTGGCAACCTGCAGCCAGAGCCCCAGGCGCCAGGTGAGCCCAGAGCAGACGGCTACTGCCGGCCCTCGGCTACAGAGACAAGGAGTGAGCCAAGCCCCGCCCAGGGGGGAGGGGAAATCACATCTGCCCAGGGCCACTCTCAGCTGTGCGCCAGGGAATCACCAACGCATCTCTCTTCCTTAACCATGCCAGCATGAGCCAAGAGCCCAGGAAACAAAGAAGTGACGACTCTGCTGGAGGAGGGGACGAGGGCAGCACCCGGGAGGTGACAGTGTAGCTGGACTTTGGAAGAAGTCTGCAAGCTCCCCAGGAAGGAAGGAAACCTCACAGCTCCTCAGAACTCGATGTAGATTAAAAATCCCAACAATGCATTGATGGGAAGGAAAGTGGCCCAGAGCAAGGTACGACCTCAGGAGCGGTCCCAGATGAGGTTGCAGGAGGAAAGAAGGTGTTGTCTTTAAAGACCAAAGTTCAATCAGGCACTGGTCAACTCTGACTCTAAGGAGATGCCCCACCTTCCATCAGCACCTGGGTGTCACCTCCTCAAAGCTCCCAGAGCCCTGTGAGTGCAGCTTCACCAGGGCAGACCCAACCCCAGCTTCCTCCATCACCACTACATACCTGTGCCTCCCCATCACTCACTGTGTCACCTGTCCCCTCCCCATCACTCACTGTGTCACCTGTGCCTCCCCATCCCCTCCCCCATCACTCACTGTGTCACCTG